ATTGTTGTTTGATTTGCAGCCTAATACTGCTGTTTTTCCTCCTGCTTACAAAGTTAAAAATAAGAGAGACACATTTCTAGGTAACAAACTTGTCCTTGATATTCATAGCTAATAGAATTTCAATTTTGTACCTGGCTGAGTTAGTGCAATATGTGGTATCTGATAATTGACTTTAGGGATCTAATTCTAATGAGTTGTTGTACATTAGCGGATTTACCTAGCTCAAAAATAAAATAAAATTCTATATAATAACTAGGTTCATGTTCAAAATTCTAAGTTTTATGCACTGATGATAAAGTTTGGCCTACAATGATATGTAAAGTTTGTTTCTATCAATCCTGATATGATAACTTGATAAAAAATTATTGTTTTCATTTTTTTTGTTAGATTCTAAGGGTGAAATGCATGAGTTTTTGGAGGGACTAGTTGATGTTGATGATGTTCCAACGTACGTTAAAGGACATCAATTTGGACAACCTGCGATAACAAATACTCACAAGGATTGGGATTATTATGCTAAGATAATTCGCGTTGCGGAAGATCCTAGCTTTGGTTGTTCTGATTAAGAATCTGAGTACTCTGATTAAGGACTTTAATTACTAGTATTATGTTCTACGAAGAAGGTTAATGGTTTTTCCCAGAACATTAAGTAAATCTTTTCTTAGTAATTGTGTACTTGTGATGTTTTGGTGTTTGTCTTATGTTTTTTGCATGTTGCAAGTCTTTTGGGACTTTATTTGTCTATGGGTTGTTAATGATATTACTATGTTTTGATAATGTTTCTATCATCTTATGTTCATATTGTCAATGATCTTTTATGCTTTTTCCAATGTTTTATATTTATTATATAACCCTTCGTTTCAGTTTACTTGTTCATTTTAATAAATCAGAAGAGTTTTGCTATATTTTTTCGTTACTATCTTTTGTATTAGAAAACTATTATTTCAAAATATCACTAATAAAGTTTGATGAATATTCTTAGCAATTGAGTTGGTTGTCTATTACATAAACTTTTACTTTGTTGGTGAGAATTCGATTTTCCACCTAACAGTCTACCTCCTCCATTTCCCCTTCCCCTACTCCCAATTTAATTTTCTTTTAAAAATATAAGGTTAGCTAGTTTGGTACAAACACTTCTGATTAAAGTTTTATTAAAAAGCATGTCATTTCAAAACGGGTCAAGTAATATAAAAGAACGAGAGTACGATTATACATTCTATTCATTGAGTGCTTTTAGTAATTCGTATATTACGCTTGTTTCAAATTATTTGTCGTGGTTTTTGAAGATAATACTGTCAAAATAATTATTATTTTAGAGGTCAAAGATACAATTAATTGTTAGTCTCCCTTTTCACTTTTAGTAGGAATTGTTCTTAAAAGTCTACTAAAATCATCAATTATATATATGGAGTGATGACACATAAACAGATAAATATTTTAATTAATGAATACAAATTATATTTTAACAAAGGGTATCTATTATAGCAACAATATATTCCATGAAATCTTAATAAAATATAAGATTATCTAAATCTTTAATAATTAAACGTGTAAAAAAAAAATAAGATAGATAATTTGAGACGGAAGAGTAAAAGAAAAGCCATCCGAACCCTTGATAAACTCTTGCTCCTCGAAAATTGAAAAAGCTCCTTCATTTAATTAAAGAATTTGAAGGGTTTAATTTCCTCTATTAGTAATTAAAAATAAACCATAATACCACTTTAAATATAAAATCACCGAGGTTTATTTTCCAACAAACTATCACTTATAAAGTCTTTTTATTTTCTTCAAACTTCAACAATGGCTCAAAAAATTCCCAACTTGAAATTGAAGAATGTAATTTCTTATAATGATAAATATAGTGATGATGAAGATGAAAAACATAAAAATAAAATTAGTGGAAAATTAGAGTTGTACCTTCCGCTAGATAAGTTGAACCTTGGTCCAAAAAAGAAACTCCTTGTGTTTAATCTTGGCGGTTTATTGGTTCATAGGGTTCACCGACAAAACCGGTTCAGTGTTCAAACCTATAAACCGGATTTGGTTTGTGGAAATTTCACAGGTTTGTCTCAATTTATGTGACGTTGTTTGAATTACAGAGACTCGAACTGATAATTTGAATTGTTAATTAATATGTCTTATATAATTGTGTTTGAATTTATGTGTAAAATTTAGAATTTGATTCTTCAAATCTGAACTATGGCACATAATTGAGATTTGAGGGGGAGGGGATTATACTTTAATTTATTGTTTAGTGGAATTATGGTAAGTACTACATAATTTATTTATTTTTAGTACAAGTAGCTACTGAATTTTCTTTGACATTATTGTTGTTTGATCGATTTTATTAATGATGTTTTTGCTTCTGTTCAATACACAATAATGAAGCAAACTTTGATTTGTTGATCAAGGATTTTGTGTGTATCACCATAATAATAAAGTGGTATGATTAGTAACATGTTAAATAAGTGTAATCTATTATGACATAAAATAAGATTTCTTCATAATTTTTTTGTTATTGTTTGTTCAATTTATGTTATATGATGTCTACTTCAATGCAGTTTTCAAGAGGCCTTTTTGTGACCAATTCTTGAAGTTTTGCCTTGAAAGATTTGAAGTTGGTATATGGTCTTCTGCAATGGAGTTAGTATTTCCCTAATTAAATTTGCTTAAATGTTTTCGATTGAGTCGACGGTTTATCATAAATGTTTGTGTACTGTGCTCTCCTTAAATCTCACTAATGAGATTATATTGAGTATGTTATGTTGTTATTGTTATTATAATCGATTGAAACTATATTTTTATTATTATAGGAGAAACATGGATGCTATTTTAGATAACATTATGGTTGGTCTTCGAAGAAAGTTGTTATTTGTTTGGGTAAGTATCTTTAATTTAATCTAAGCTAAGAACTAATTTTGCTTAATTATTGTGGTTAAATTTGTTTAAAGAAACTATATACTTAATTATAAAAGTTTTGCCCCTATTAGTGATGATGAACAATGATATATCAATGAGAAGTTAATTCGAAAAGTTTTATCCAACCGTTCTAATATTTTTTAATGAAAATAGTAACAATTCAATTTATTTTTTTTGTAGGATCAAGAAAAATGTATTGATAGTGGATTTAAGTGCTTGGAGAAAAAAGAAAAGCCCATATTCTTGAAGCAAATGAAAAAAATATGGGAAAATAAGTATAATCTTCTTCCTTTTCGTGGTGGAAAATTTTCAGAATCCAACACACTTATGATTGATGATGAGCCACATACTGCTCTAATAAATCCTGTAAGGTTTTAGTAATTTATTTTATACTGACGATGTATATTATTTAAACTCGTACATAATATATAGAAATTGTTTTATTGAGACTAATTTATATTTCTTGTTTGATTTTATTTGCAGCCTAATACTGCTATTTTTCCTCCTGTTTTCAAAGTAGGAAATGGCAAAGACACATTTCTTGGTAACAAATTGTTTATTCTAATAATATATCCTTGATATTCACTAATTGATATACATTAAGGGTGTGTTTAGTATAATGGTGGAAAAATTAAATATCAAATTTAAATTTTCTCTTGTAATAGGTCAAAGTATCTTGGAAAACATTTTATCTAGGAAATGAATTTCTTATAATCACGAAAACGATGTATTTAGAGAGAGTAGGGAAACAAACCTCAATAAATTGCATTTCAAACTCCTCATTGTATGTTCCTCAATCCTCAGTTGCTCTCGATATTTGTCTAGATTATATTTGAACCTATCATTTTCATTCATAACAAACACACACCTAATCGTAGGTTAATCATAGTAGATCGATTAATGTACTTTTTTTTCCACTGTCAATGTATATAATAAGTTCGATTTGATTTGTTTATGTAGGTCCCAAGGGTGATTTACAGAAGTTTCTAGATGGTCTTGTTGATGCAAACGATGTTCCAACGTACGTTGAAGAACATTCCTTGATTGGACAACCTGCCATAACAACTTCTCATCCTGATTGGAATTACTATGCTAAGATTATTATATGTTTTGTTGGCATAAAAAAAGAGATTTTGTAGAAATTATATGGAATATTATTATTATGTTACTGTTTTAGTTACTTAATTTCACAATATCTACTATGTTCAACTCTAAGTATTTCTCAAAAAAAAAAAACTCTCAAGTATTTTTCAATCTCATCATGTCGGATTGCATAAACTCAGATATGTACTTGTTTTACTATGTTCAACTCTAACACTCTGTTTGGATCATTGTTATCCATTGTATTGTATTGTATCGTTACTATATCTACAACGTTTGTTTTGATTGTTACTTAAAATGTATTGTATTGTGTTGTTAATTTTCGTTGTTACGTAACAATGAAAACCCTATTTTATGGAACAACCGATTTGGTGTGTTCCCATTGTTACTTAATTTCTTTTTCCAATTATATCTTTACATAATATTTCAAAATACTATTTTACCCTTTACCATATATTATTTAATTCTAATCAAACCTCCTATCCTAGAATAATTAAGAATATTTTAGTAAATTTATACACAAATGACCATTTACAGAGTTACTCTTATTCGTATCAGCTGATACTCTAAGAGGGATGTTTTCATGCCATGCTAACGATTTAACAAGTTATTTTTGTTAGCCCCATAATACTTTAGTTCATACTCTTACCTATTATATTATATCTAAGATAAGATAGAAAGATATACCATCATATCAGAGCTACTATGAAATATTTACTCATGCAAGGAACAAGAGCTCATCATTTCTAGTTCATGATTTCTTTTGGCTATATAGTTTCATCACAAAACTATATGACAAGCTAATCTAATTGTATTAGAGTCGATAATTGATTTCTTTCGTATAACACTATCGTTCATAAGTGCTACAAGATCTCGTGCATTGATACCCATGGTTATTATACCCTATTCCAAAAGACAACATAATAATGAATCAGTTTCCTTTGTCAACATCTCTTCCTAAATCATAATATCCAAAAAGAGTATAAAAACATTACAACAACCAGAAAAACAAAAGATATATTAGCCCTTTTTCTAGTCATGTCAGCATAATACTTAAAAAAAGTTTCTAATAAAGCAGTCCTAATGATTCCTCAAAATTACAATCAGCACAGACATGAGCACAAAACAAGGAATCAGCTAAGCAGAAAAGAACTATAGTCAAGTTTTGGTTCGATTCGTCGAGCTTTACTTTACTCCATAGGTATAGACACGTTAATATCTGGATATGATCTCTGCTCGAATGTTGGTTCAGATCCATTACAGTCAGAAGTGTCTGTAGAGGTGGAATTCGGCATGTCTTTGTTGCTCGTGCTGTTGTCAGCTTCACCGTGGTTGTGGATTGGTATGTGAGATGTCTGAGTCAGAGTAATGTTGCTCGCCGGTGGTGCTTGTGAGACAGGTCTTATCATTGAAACAGGGTCCGGAGAGCTGTGGATGACTGGAGGCATTCTTGGTTCGATCTGATGATGCTTCCTTTTGTTGTGTGTTTTAAAAGCGTTTGGCATGAAACTTCCAACCACCATCTAGCAAATATAAGAAGAAATTATGTTCAATAAGTATGCTAACAAGTAACGATGTTGGTTGTGAATGAGGTATACTACATGGCATTAACTTAAATCGGAGAGGATATTTGGCCTACGCAGATGATACACGTTCCATCATTTTCTGATTCACCAACATAATCAACGACTTAGCTCGTAAAGAAGACAATCATCTTCTGTCAAAGGATAGTCAGATTTGTTGTGTTCTTCAGTTAAGCAATGGATGTAGACTACTTATCGAGAAATATAGATACTTTGTTAAACAATTTTGTACTGAATTTCCAACTAGTGGCATCATTAGTCATAACAGGCTTTAGGATCTATTGAACACGATATGACCATATCTCGGACTAACATGTTATGTGTTGTAAAACATTTTTGAAATTGCAGACAAATGATTCTGTCACATCCTCATCTCACGGGTAGAACAAAGGTGGACACTTGACAAGCGAGGCTAACTAGGACTTACTTGGATAGGGAACAAGCAAACAGAGGCAGAGCTCAGAGCTCTCAGGGACTTGTAATTTATTTTATATATATAAACACATAAAAGGACTTACTTGGATGGGGCTTGCAGCCGTAAGCGAACCAGCAATACCACCACCAATAACACGCCCATCTGGGCCAGCTAGAGAAACACTCAATCCACCGGACCTAGTTTTCATGCCACCGTTATCAGAAACAGTGTATGACCCTGTTAATGCTAAGATCTCAAAGCGTCCCTGCATTGTCAGAGTAACTTAACATAAATTTTCAGGACATGGAAGGTGATACACTTCAATTTACTCAGACGGGATAATACAATTCTGAAACAAAAAGTACATGAAAGCTGATCTAATAAAAAGATGGAGAGTGAGATTCTAAGGCTATATAATTATAGTAGAAAGCATATCGGTGAACCAAAAAAAAAGGCCTACTTTTCCTTTCTAGACTGCAACAATATTTTTCTTGCTGAAAAGAGTTAGGGAGCATTGATTTCTTAAAAAAAAACTGAAACAGCCTCATCGAAGTGAGACGATTATAGGGCATCTGATAACCATTTTCATTGAGCATGTAGTGTCAGTGTCAACTCTATCTGACCCTAAGCCTTCCAAACATTACGTGATGCTATGCTGAGCAAAAATCTGGGTGCTTACGACAATTCTGGTGATATGTGTTTTGTGATTCTAAATTTGAATTTCAGTACGATGGGTCCAAGTCAAAACAGTTGTTGCAAAACAAGAAGAACATTTTAACACAACTACCGAAAACAAGAAACTGATTTATGCTTAGTACTGTAACATAAGCGAAGTCCTTCAGAATGAACACAGAAATAACATATACAGGAGATTTGAACTCATAAAAGGTAAATTAACTTGATCCCGTTTAAAATAAATTACTAGAACAAATAAGAGAAGTGACGATTATCAATTAAAGATTCATTGCACATGCAATTGCAAACTTGAATTTCCTCGTCATTATTGTGCTTTCATTAATAAGCACAGGAACTCCTGGTAAACTTTGCTACTTTACAAGTCCAACCATGTAAAAGCAACATAGGATTCAGGCTTCAACCAGAGTTCCATTAATACAATGATTCAGACAGTAATTAGCATTCTTCTACAAAGCGATTTCGTACTAACTTTGGAGTAGATTTCAGTAATAAGCTAATCTTTCTATGCACATGTAAATGCTGCACTAAATCAAGGCTAGCAAGTACACTAAGCCCTAAGGGAGTGATTTAGTCAAATTTCCTTTTAACGGTAGTAATACAACTCTTCGAGGAAGTTTATTTATCTGTTTTTTTGGATGATCAGCCTGCCTCTCTCCCCTTCCCCACTTAAATACCAGACTTTTGTCTACAGCAAGATTCGAACTCAAGACATTCACCTAACCCACACATCACATGTTGTGCCCTTACCACTAATACTGCTTTTTTAATAGCTATAACAGTGTTTTCTAGACCAACTCGAATGCACCTCGAAGGGGGGAGGGGGGGAGGAACCGTATCCTGCAGAGAATCCATCCTCCAAATAATTAGATTCTTGATCATGACAATTTTCCAAATTATTTTTCTTTGTTTTTTCATGTAAGGTGGTTGAGGTAGGGCAACAACAATAACAGAAGAACCCCAGGTAACTAAAATCCAGTAAAAGCTGATGCAATCTTGAAAAAGATAACAAGTACTCTATTTGTTTCAATTAGTCCGTTTTACTTTTTTAGTCTGTTTCAAAAAGAATGTCTTTTTCCTTTTTTAACAACTCTTTAGTTCCCAACTTTTTCACATCGGATGTTTAAGACCAAAGATTAAAGAACGTTTCGGTACATTCTACCTACCTTTACTTTCTTAAACTCCCTACCAAGTCAAAACGAGACAAACAAATCAAAACGACGAGTACAAAACACAAGATTAGGAGAAAAGAATGAAAACAAGAATCATGCCTCATATGTCAATAGACCTCCAGAAGAACCAGGCTGACGAATCGTAACATTCGAAACAGCACCATTTGCAGACAGAACACAGATCCCTCTTGAACCCTTCTGCACAAAAGAATAAACCTTTCCTGCCACATCCTACATAACACACCAGAGTACAATTCTCAAATCTTTACAAGAAAATCAAAAAGTAAACAAACATCTCAGATCTGAAAAACAGAAAAAACAAACAAGAATTTTTTTTACCTCTCCAGTATGAACAGTAACCACATGAGGCATAAAATCACCTCCAGCTGTGTGAGCAAACAATTCACCTTCATAGACCAAAAAGCAAACACTCAACATCACCATAAAGACATTAGGTAAAACAAACTAAAGCAAACAAAACCAAATATTGGATCTTTTTGACTGCTCATTTCAGATTTACCCCAAAAAAAATAATTTTTTTTTTTTTAGAAATTCTAGGGTTCTTCTCCCTTCTAATCAACAAAACAATTTCAAAAAAATACCCCAAAAACGCCAAAGAAAATAATGAAACAAAAACACAAACATAAGAAAAAATTTCTATGGGGGAATTTTAGTAGCTCAATTGTTAGTTCGATTTCCCACCTTGTAATCGTCTCCCCCATTTCCGCTTCCCTACCCCTACCCCAACCCCCAATTTTTTTTTAACAGATCTTTAAGCAAAATCTCCATGAACCCCCCAAAAAAAATACAGAGCTAAACAAAGTTTGTTTTTTTATTGTTTTGGGGATTTTTAGACTTACCCAAAGAAGCAATTAATTGCAAGTTACCAGCACCAGTAGGCCTTCCACGTCCTCTTTTAGATGAAGAAAAGCCACCGGAAGAAAGCACCGGCGACGTTATAGTAAAACCAGTCGGCGGCGATGTCACTCCACCACCACCACCCGGTGAAGTGACAGCTCCGCCGACGACACCGCCACCACCACCACTTCCTACTGCAGCTGCTGCTTTAGCAGCTGCTGCAGCAGCAGCTTTTATATATTGAGGTGTTAAATTTCCATCAGCATCATATTTTCTTGGTCTTCCTCTTTTCTTTTTGTCACCACTACCCACTACCCCATTACCCCCACTACCAACCACCCCTCCACCCCCAGTTCCTCCTAAACTCATATTCATAACTTGGGGTACCACTACCCCACCACCCCCACTGTTAAAACTCCCATTTGTTCCTGCTACTGCTGCTGCCACCACTGGTGCCGCCGGTGGTGGTGGTGGTGAATCATACTCCGAGTTAACCCCTAGTGACCCAGATTCTGTACTCTCTTTATCTTCCATTTCCATCATCTACAAAAAAAAACAGAGTACTATCAAGAATGAAGTTCAAATTGAAAAGGGTTGGTGAACAAATGGCGCCACAAAGAAAAAAAAAGGGGTTTTCAGATTAGTACTGATATCTGATTTTCAGTAAAAAAAAATTGTGTTTTTGGAGTTTGTAAAGTTCGAGCTTCCCTCCATTAATGGAGTGAAAAAATAGAAAAACAAAAGTGAAAGATAAAAAAAATAAAATAAAATAAACTGATATATATGTATATTATATTATATGTATAATATAAATATAATATTTGCCTTTTGTCTGGACTCTATTACACCAAAAGTGTTTATTTAATAGATAATGAAATGACAAAAATGCCCCTGGCTTTACTTTTTATGTTCGTATATTACCTTTGTAGATAAACGAAACAAGGTCGAAATTGTCCTTAAACTATGCGGAAAAAAGTAATTTTACCCTTTGTTAAAAATTGGTCTCGAATTTGTTCTCGTTACGAGTGGTAAATACCAGAGGTTTAAATGAAGTCAAAATGTGAAATTTATATGCAAACACGTGTTATGTATCGATTGTTTTGCGCGGACTTGAGTAAGTTTATATTATGACTTGCCTTTGTCCTTTTCGATTAACGGGGTCAAGGATTAATTAATCCTCAGTTGACATATTTAGCATTTGAACAAAGCTATATGTGTTTTACGCGAAAATGAGTAAATTTCTACTATGACTTGTGCCTTTGTTCTTTTTGATTAACAGGTCAAAGATAATTAATCGTCAGTTACTTATTTGGAATTCAAGAAAAGCTATGTGTTGTTTTACACAAACATGTATGACTTGTCTATTGTCATTTTAGATTAACATGTCAAAGATTAATTAATTATCAGTTAACGTATTTAGTATTTGAAAAAAGCTATATATTCAGACATAGTGATAATAACAACATACTCAATTTGGTCTCACAAGTAAGATTTAAGGAGTTATGCGTACGTAAATCTTATTTCTATCAAGTGTGGTCCAAACACATGAAAGAAAAATAGATTTAACACTTATGTTTAATGGGTGTGAAATTATTCTATTTAGTATAGTTAAAAGGGTAGTTTTGAGCCTTTTTTTTTTTTTTAGATGAATGACAATATTTTGTTTTCATATTTAGAGATTTATGATTTATGAATTGTAATTATCAAATCTTATTAATTTTCCGTAAATAGACTATAGAAGGATATGTTTTTTTAAAGAAAATATTTTATTTGTTATCATATTCACTCATTATTAGAATATTTTAATTAAATTCATTTGTGATTTGATAAGTTTTAAAGTTAGAATTTCTGTCATATCTTTTTGTATCTTTTTGACTTAGTTGTCAATAATTTGTCTATATTATATCATAAAATTCCGGGAAACGTTATAATTTATGTGGAAAAAGAAAGTATTTTATTTTCTTTCTCAATTAGAAATACCAAAAAAATCAAATAAAAACGTATGCTTTTTGGCCAAAAAAATAAAATAAAAAAATAAAATGCAATCCCTTTAACCATAAAAATGATTCCTTATACTATACCTTTTTTTTCTTCCGTTACAAAAGAGATTATTTTAGATTAATTAGTATGTATTTAAAATTTATTCTAAAAATAAAACAAGTTTAATGTTCATCGTAAAAGTTTTAAAATGATATAATTATCTTATTAGCATATTTTAAAAATGATGGAGCAAAAACAATAACAGTAGATTAGAACTAAAAAAAAATTAGTTGATTAAATATTAGTTTAATAAGGATAAATGTTATTGACAGCTTTCCTCTTAAATTGATTTTATGTGACACAAATTTAAATTAATCGAGAGTTCTAATTGATATAGAATTAAAAATCATAAAATAAAAATAAATGTACTTCTAAGTAATAAAACATATTTTATAAATAAATAATTATATATTTGGGTAGAAGTATTAAACTTGATGATAAGTCATTTAAAAGATAACATAGACCTTCACGATTTAAAAAATAAAATAACCCTACTTAGATTTTTTGGGTGTTATTTTCATTTTTTAATGTAAAAAACAAAAATCTTTTTTAAAATATATATTAAGTAATGAATAAATATAATTCTTCCCATCTTAATTTAAAAAACTGGGTTTGAGCTTTGTAAATGGACAAAAACTCTTGATAGGGAGCGTTTTTCTTTGAAAATGGATATACTAATTAGTCGAGTCAGTAAATTTAGGTATATAGTAGTTGATATAAGAGATGGGAATTTTTAAAGGAAGAAAAATAAAAGTGTGAGAAAAGAAAATGACAATTGATATGCACATAAATGACAAATGAAAATAATTTGGGGGGTAAAAGCGACTTTAAATATTATTAATACACAAATAAATAAAACCGGTGAAAATATTCAAACAACAAAAAGCCAGTCAACGTATGATGTGCTGTTAAAGCTTAAAATCCTGCAATAAAATAATGCTTTAATTCAATTATTTATTAGTAATAAAAATTTAAAAATATAGTACATACGCTAAGTTTTCCCTATATTCTAAGTTGAAAAAGGGGTCGTAATTATTATATATAATCTTATCCTATATTTTTTTTTTGCGATAGATTAATTTTATAATTTAAAAGGTCGAATCAAAAAGGATTATTATATGTGATTTGCATTACATAGTTTTACTCAACATTTTTACAATAAATCCTTTTATAACTCAAATTCGATAATAACTTTGTTAGTTGTATCAAAACTCTATTGAATAATAAAATATACAAATAATTTTTTTATAAAAAAAGTACAAATCCCCAAACAAAGTCCTCTTGGCTCGATTTTAATATTATAAGATAACTGAAAAAAATCAAAATTCGAGAAACATTGGGTTTGCTTATTTCTCACTACACTATATACTTTATACATTTTTATTATTATTCTTTTTAAAAAAAAAAGCAATTAAGATATTTAAATTGAAAAGAAGAAAAAATCAAACATAATTATGGCCTTCTCTACTGTAATTTTGACTCTTTACCTAATTACTCCCTAGCATTATAAGTTACTTTTCCCATTTTAGGGGCTAAATTTATCATGTAATATTATTTCATTGAAATTTCGAAGTGCGAAGTAGCGGATATTGAAGATAAAATGAGAGAAGGTTATTTGTGTATGTTATGTATAAACTTATAAATGTATCAATATATAGAGTAAAACAATGATAAGTGAAGGTATTTAAAAAAAAATGATCAATCTGAAATTATATGAAGAAAACTATCTCAAAAGACCTATAAATTTTTTTATATAAATTCAGAATTAAAGATTAGACGAAAGAAGAAAAAAATCCATATATATAATAATTTTAAAAATGTGTAATACAAATTAATTTATGATAACAGGTAATCTTTCACATTTTTTTCATGACAAACTTGATTAAAACAAATTGAGAATATTCTCATGATTTTCATTTGTTGACAAGCACTTATAATGTGGATGAATGTAAAACCTGCATAGTCAAAATTAACAAAAACCATTTATTCATTCAACTACCAATTCTATATGTTGAGTGTAAAAGAATATTTATATTATTAAATTATTTAAAAGATAATTACAAATAATTATTAAAAAGACAAAATAGTAACTCGTCTTCTTTTGAAAAAAATGTATAATTGAATTATGTGGGATTGGTTTCTGTGACGGATAAGAGGAGGAAAGCGAGACTGAGAAGGTTTGAGCATATAAAGAGGAGGTGCGCTAACGCCTCAATGAGAAGGTGTGAGAGCTTGGTTGTAGGGGGTATGCAGAGAGGTAAAGATAGGCCGAAAAAGTATTCGTAAATGACTTGATTAGATAGAACATGATGTGACTTAATATTGTCGTGGACATGACTTTAGATAGGAAGGAGTGAAGATCTTGTATTAATATAGAAGGTTAGTATAGGTAGAGTATTGTCTTGCCTTGCGGAGGTTTAGACTTGTTAGTGTTTGCCGTAGTACTAGTCGTACCTTTATAGTTCTTATCATATAGCTTATAATGTTTTGATTATCCCATTATTTTGTTGTGACCGTTATTTCTTTCTTGTAGACCTTACAACATTTTTTTTCTATTAACTACTATATTTTCTTTATTATTTTTATATTTTTTTACTTTGATTTGATGTATTAAGCGGATGATTTTTCGAGGAGTTTATGTTGTTCTAGGCTTCTTAAGAGAAAAGCCCAATAAATATTAAATGTAAGACCCCACACCTCATTAAGATAACTCGTACAATAGACCTTCTATTACAATAAATATAATAAATTCAAATTAAATTATACTAATATTAGCTGTGCCTGTTCATATAAATTAAATTATAAATATTTATTTTGGATGTCGTTATCTCAAAACCCTCCTATTTTATATCTAGACACCCCTTTATGTAAATCTTCAATTTTACTTTTCTTAAACCAAATGGAAAAAGAAAAAAAAAAATCTGCACACATCATAAAAGGAGGAAGGGATAATTCCTCTTTTGATCTTCAATTATTGATAAATTTAATGGAAAAATAACCTAAATATACAAGTTATTTTATCATATTTTAAAAAATTCTATTAATTGAAAAAATTATAAAAATTTCTACTCTCTTATTTTCGGATACATCACTTTTTGCGATGTATTAGTCGGATACATTATTTTACGCGATATATTAGTCGGATACATCACGTTACGCGACGTATTAGTCGGATACATCACTTTACGCAATGTACCGGGATGTACGCGATGTATCGCGGACGTTGAATGAGGTATTCGAAATTGAAATGTGATGTTGAGGGATGTATTCAAAATGGGAACGCAATGTACCGAGACGTTTTGGGATGTATCCGGATTCCACCAAATTTAAGGAATTTTTGTAATTTAGAAAAGAATAGAAATATGATATAATTGGTTCTTAACATTATGAGATTTGTGTAAAATTTCTCTTTAATAGATTGTGTATTTCTAATATCCAATTAAGTAAAACATGTAGTTTTGATCCTTCTCAAAAGGTTGACTACCACATAAGTCGTCATCTGTTTAGGAAAAATATAAGTTAGTATCGTTTTTTGATTATTTTTTCAGAGGAGGGAAAAACGAAAATAGATAGCAAATGGTAATATGGTTGATTCGAGGATCTGACACGCAGAGCAAACTTTTCTATTGTGTTAGCATTTCTATGATTGACTATAGGGCTTGAGGTAAAATAGCGAAAATCGAATTATC